CCCCGCCTGAGCCCGCCAGCCAGCCGTGACCACCCCTCTCCTCACTGCAGGCGCACTTTACTCCTACCAGCTCTGGGCAGACAACCTAAAGGTAGAACACCGCACTCTTACTGTTTATTATGGGATTAACTTAGCCCCGTAACAGTCCCCAGGGAGGGTCACCGTTATGCTCATTTATAGACAGAAGAAATGGAGACTCAGCTAGGGAGAGGGGCTCGTCCAGCCTCACACAGCTGGGGTGACGAGGTGGAGTCTGGGGTAACCCCAGAGGCCCAAGTCTCTCTCCCTTGCCATTCTGTCTCCCCAGAAAGGTGGCGGTGCTCTCCTGCATTCGGTCAAGGCCAAGACTCAACCAGCTGTCAAAAACATGTACCGCTCGGTGAGGCTACACGACACAGGCCACCGACCGGGGGTCACGAAGACCAGGGGACAAGGCACATGGCAACCCCTCGTGGGGACAGGACATTTTAACCTCACATGTAAAGTGCAAACATGTCTTTTTATCAGAAGCAAGCCGGCAGTTAAATAAGTCTTCGCGCTTTTATTTTCCAGTTACGTGCTCATTTCTGCCAGGATCATTTCTACCCCACTTAAAACTGACAACCAAGATTCACTGGCGAACATCTTTTGTCCTCAGACACTACGGTCCCAGCCTCTGCCCTTGTGTTTCTTTTTCTCCCGAGCCCCGAAGTTTCCTGTGGCCAACCTCTGCCGCACCAGATTGTCCCTTGGGTCTCATCTGTTGCTTGTCTTTTGAATGCTGACACCACTCACAGTGTTCTGTGTTTGCCACTCTCCATTTCGTTCAGTGGTTATGTCCTCTAGGAATTCTTTTCTATTAGGCAAGGGGTGAGCCTGTGTTGACTTCTCAGGTGGTCCGTGTAGCACAAACGTGAACAGATGGCAGGACAGTGATCCTAGGGGACGGAGAGCCGAGCTCTTGACTGCCCAGGTTCAAAGCACTGCGGAGTCTAATTCTCTTTGTGGCTCCTCCGTAGGCCAAGAGCGGCTTGAAGGGTGTGCACAGCCTTCTGATGTACAAGGTAAGGCCGGTGGCCAACGGCCGGGGCAGTGGAGAAGGGCTCACCCACCCGGCTCACCCACCCTCTTCCTAGGATGGGGACTCTAGCCGGCAAAGGGGGGGCTCCCTGAGAGCCCCGTCCCTCACCAGCCGCTCAGATCGCCTGCAACAGCGCCTGCCTATCACCCAGCACTTTGGAAAGGTAAGCGCGTCTCCCCCAGCACCCTGCAACACTAACGCCACCTTGTCCTTCTCCCATTCTGTCCACACCCAGACTTCTTGCTCACATGCTCACCTACCCCAGTGTTCGGTGCCCACTTACCACACACCCTCCTCCAGAAATCTGTAGTTCCTGAGGCCCCACCCTCCAAATCTGTCCTTCGCAGAACCGGCCCCTTCGCCCCAGCAGGAGACGGCGACTAGAAGAGAGACCTTCTGAGTCCCGGGAGGAAGGGTGAGACTCAAAGGCAGGGGGAGGGGGCAGGGAGGCCAGGTCCCTAAACTCCAGAACCTCCAGAGCAGTCCCATTAGGACTAGGGGTCTTGGGCAGACATCTGGGGCTGCCCATCCTTACCCAGGACACCTGCTCTGAGCCCTGAGGAGGCCCAGGACCCATGGGCAGAGGAAGCTCTGGACAGCAGCTTCCTGGGGTCTGGAGAAGAACTGGATTTGCTGGGCGAGATTCTGGACAGTCTGAGCCTGGGAGCCAGCAGGACAGGTAGCCTGCGGCCCAGCCAGAGCTTGGACTGCTGTCACAGAGAGGACACAGACAGCTGCTTCAGCTTGGTGAGAGCCCCAGCCCCCGTCCAACCCCCCTGCCAAAAGTCCATCAGACTTGTCAGCCTTCTCCAGCATCTGAAGACCAGCAACTTGCCCGTTTCCCTACCCCCACCCAGCCTGACATAGCAGAAAGACCAAGATGGCAACCAGAAGATGAGAAACTTCCAGAGCCCCAGCCCCTGTCCCTGCCTGCTGACCTGCCATCTCAGCAAACCCTCCAGTCTTCGGATGCCGCGACCTCCTCAAAGGACCCTATTTCCCAGCCAGCCTTGGAGGCCAGCCAAGAAACCATCCTTCTTCCATCGCTGCCTTCACCAGCTTCTGCAGACCCCAGCAGCCCAGGGGACCCCGAGTCCAATCTTCTCATCCTACATCTCTCCCCTCCCCGCAAGGCAGCTGAAGACCCCAGAGCCCAGGAGAGCCCCTGCTCTCAGCTGTCCACAGCACCCACCCAGTCCAGCCCTCCAGAAAGCCCCCAACTTCTGGTCCCCACAAAGCCCAACTTGGATATTACCTGGACATCCCAACCCCTTGAGCCCCTTGATTCTTCCTCAGATCCTGGTTCCCCAGAGAACCCCAGGTCCCAGCCATCTGAGGTCATGCTGGCAGAACATGCTCATTTCCAGTGCCCCAAGGGGCCAGGAGCCCTCAGACCCCCTGCTGCACCCGACAGTGACTGGCAGGAGTCCCAGGCTAGGAGCCGGCCCAGAGTCGCTGAGCTTAAAAAGTGTTTTGAAGGTTAAGAATCAGGGTCCCAGAGGAGACCCTGGTCCTTCAATAAAGTCACATGAGCCCAAAGCTGGTTTTCCTGGTGAGTTTATCTGGGGGCCCTCTCTGTGCTCAGAAACGTACCCCATCTGCCACCTCCCTCCTCCTCCTCCAGCTGGCTCCCAGGTGCAGCAGGAAGCCCCTCCCTTCCAGGAAGCCCCCCCTGGATTCTTGCACCCTTACAATTCATCTCTCAACAGCCTATGAGCCCTGAGTTTGTCCTCTCCATCTAGCCTGACTCCTGCTCCACCGGCTTAAAA